CCACTTCCCATTCCCTACAGTAAGGCCAACAGTTCTCAGGGTCAGATAGCAAGCCCCCAGCTTCTCCTCAGATGCCTTCGTACTATGGCAGAGCTTCGAAAAGTTCCTTTTTGGGACAACAACTCTCAGAACCTATCTGCATAGTCTGACTGGGTGCTCCTGAAAGTTATAGCGCCAAAATAACAAATTTCAGAAGCTTTGACTGGAATTCTACCCGGTTTCCCCGAAAATAAGACCTAACCTAAAAATAAGCCCTAGAAGGATTTTTCAGGATGCTCGTAATATAAGCCCGTAATATAAGCCCTACTCCAAAAATAAGCCCCAGTTGAGTGAAACCCCACCCTCCACCATTGTGCAGCAAACAGAAGAAGATGACATGACTGTACAGTATTTGCATAAATGTAGATTGTTGTACATGAAAAAAATAAAACATCCCCTGAAAATAAGCCCTAATGCATTTTTTTAAGCAAAAATTAATATAAGACCCTGTCTTATTTTCGGGAAAACAGGGTTGCGAAATATGGTAATGTCAGAAGTGGCCCTCATCATCATATGCATGCATGGAGACAGATTACTGGGAGGATATTCTGGGTCCATTCCCTCTTGTTAGAATAAGCATGCAGTTACCATTCGTCATGATCTACTTTTTCCCCCAAAATCAACATACAAAATCAACCAATTTTGTAATAGTAATACAAACATTCATGCATGCATGTACATACAGTGGGGTCTCGACTTACGAACTTAATCCGTATTGGAAGGCAGTTCTCAGGTCGAAAAGTTCTTAAGTCGAATCTGCATTTCCCATAAGAATGCATTGAAAACCATTTAATCCGTATCTGCTCTTTTCGTCCATAGAAACTAATGGGAAGCTGCTATTCCGCCTTCTGCCACTAGAGGGGGATTTTTTTTCTTTTTTCCTTCTAACCTAAGATGACTTAGCTTTTTTTAAAAGGGGAAAAAAAGAGTTCGTAACTCGGATCTAAGTCCGGAAGTTGAGTCCATATATTCCTATGAGAGCGGTTCATAAGTTGAAACGTTCGTATGTCGAGCCGTTCGTAAGTCGAGACCCCACTGTATCTGGATTAAAGCATATTGCTTCTGAAGTTTAGTACACTTTTGAGTTCATAACATATCTTACCAAAATTTCAGGCAGTGTCTTTTTGGTTTTTACCCACCTTTGGATTCTGTGATAAGCGGAATTCTACGTTGCCAAAAAAATTGGTCCAGCTTGACTATCCCTTTTGACAATCTAAGAACATGACTCAATTTTTCTGCCAGTATTCTTCTAAAGTAATTTTCTGCAGTCACCCACTACAATGTCTATAGTCACCCACTAAAATGTCCTCCACTGTGCCGTTATTTCTAGCCATGTTGCCACCTCTCAGAAGGATATCAATTGCTTGTGCAGCCAATTTTTCACAAAGACCCATAAAGATAGATAATATATACAAAGCCCCACAAAATTCAGTATTTTGATTAGTTATTTTTTAAATAAGATCATCCACATCCCTCTAGAATGCTTTTACTTTGGGGCAGTCCCACCAAAGGTGAGCTAACGTTCTTCTCTGGCCGTGCAGGAGAAATCAGAGTATTTGTTTTAGATAGCCAAACACGGCATAAGTGACATCTCAGGACTGTTTCTAAGCCATTTTCCTTGATGGCATTTTCCACTTATTTGAACTTCCATTAAGATGTTTATCCTGTAATTATGATACCACCCTGCTGTCTCTAAGAGAGCATTTCAGGATTTGGGTGTTAAAGAAAGGAAATACTAGTGCTTGATTTTATCCTTTGACAAGGAATCCAGGAAATACTTTTTATATCATATCTTCAGGAGTTTTGTGTGTGAGATGAAGTTTTGTTATTCTTTACAGGACTTGGTGGGAATGACAGGGAGGTTGAGAAAGACAATCTGTTGGCTTTGACTAGGCTGTCTTGCTGGGATTATAGAAGAAATTCTTGTGAATTATCTGCTGTTCTAAAGCTATATGCCATCATAGCCTGGTTTCCTTGTAAGAGATTCAAGAAGAGAAAAATGTGCCTTCTGTTGGATTTTGTTGATTAGACACAAGAGAAGGTGGTACCACTGCAACCAATTCATTACAGTGTTTCTGTGCCTAAAACAATTTTTTATCTCTACCTTCAAGAAAACACAAACATACAGGTCCTTTTAGAAGTAATAGAGATGCAAAGTCTGTCTTCTTCCCAAGGTGAAACGAAATGGGAGGAAACGTAATTTTCAAAATACTTCTTCCTTACTGTAGAACATGCACTATACAGATAGTTTATACCTCTATGAAGGAAAAAATCATTGTGTTCTCAAAGGCTTTCACAGACAAGATCCGATGGTGGTTATAGGTTTTCCGGGCAGTTTCCTAAGGTTTTTTTTCCTAATGTTTCGCCAGTCTCTGTGGCTGGCATCTTCAGAGGGCAGGAGTCAGAACTCTGTCTGTGCTCTGGTGCAGTTTGTGGGATAGTTGAGTATTGCAGCTTTTGTCCTTCTCAGGAGATTGGGTGATTATGGTGATCAGCACGTTTTTTTGTTGTGATAAGGGGGAGAGATGATCTGTCACTGTGATTGATGACTGTGTTCAGCTACTGCAGATTTTTCTGATTGTTTTAGTCTGCAGTGTCTCTCATGTTCTTTGATTCTGGTGTGGATGCTGTGTTTTGGGCTTCCAATATATACATGCCCTAAAACAAGCTGGACATGAAATTCTATTTCAAAATACAGAAGTACTGGACCCCAGCAATCATTATGTTAGACTGGACAGGGAAGCCATTAAAATCCACAAACACCAGCAGAGCTTCAACAAAGAAGAAGAAAGTCTAAAACTCAGCAAAGCCTGGCTCCCAGCACTGAAAAATACAGGCTGCAAAAGGTCAATGAACCCTACTTAGCCACAAGGACCGGTGATCACTGCATACAAAAGACCAGCTAACGACACCCATCAATCACGGTGACAGATCATCCCGCCCCCTTGTCACAACAATACACCCACAAAAAAAAAACACCCATCACCATAATCACCTAATCTCCTGAAAAGGACAAAAGCTGATCCCACAGCTACAAATACTCAACTATCCCACAAACTGCACCAGAGCACAGACAGAGTTCTGACTCCTGCCCTCTGAAGATGCCAGCCACAGAGACTGGCGAAACGTTAGGAAGAAAAACCTTAAGAACATTGCCAAACAGCCTGGAAAACCGGAAAACAACCAAAAAAATCATATTAAATATTCTGGAATACTTTGCTGAAGACTCCTCCAGCTTTATAGCTTTGCAAAACCTGGCATTTTCCCAAGTCTAATGTAGCTTCCATATTCTAACACGGATGTACTGTGAAGTCATTGCATTGTTGGCTTGCTGTGTTTAGTTCTCACCATTTAACATATACAGTATTTAACTCATGCCCAGCATGAGAAAAATTAAATGTGCTACACAGGAGAATACAGTTTGTCTTGTCCACCAACTTTCCAGTCTTCATTGGCAGTCAGTGTATGCTCCGTACTGTACAGAGAATATAGCGCTTGCACTATTACACCTGCTTGTATCACCTGAGAATGTTGTTCCAATAGCCTTTTTTCCCTTGAAGCTAGACCAACTTGTCTTGGGTTTATCTTGATTCAGGCTGTTGTACCAGTGAATTCAATAATATCATTGCACTTTCTGTAAAATACATTTGCTTTTAACAAAATACCATATTTGTATTAGAATGAATGACTTGTGAATTCATTGTTTTTTGAAAATGGGAGTGGAGTTATCAGCCAGTATTCTAAAAATGCAGATTCCTCAGCTTTATCTCACATCAAAGCAACTGAATACAGAGATTAAGTTCTTTGGCAAGCAGTTGTGTTTGTACACAAGGGGTGAACTGATAAATTATGAAGTGCAAAAATTATCATGACACCCCCAAACCTATCCCCCCTGGAGAATCCAGAGCCCCATCTGGTAGGGGCAGTGAGGGAGACTCTGCGTCTTATTACTTACACTCAAAAGGAACTGATTCTTGTTTTTTTTAACTGTCATAACACAGAGACTTTTTTAAAAATGCAAACAAACTACTAAAAAAATCTCACAGTTAGGTTTAAGGGCCAAAACTTCACCCTTAAATACTGATAGTTTGGAGTAAGTTCAACTAAATCCAGTCGTCCTTGCTTCTGATTGCTTAGGTCAAAGCTATAGTACACAGAGAGCTATAAAACATACTTTAACAAAAGATCTTCAGCTAGCTGAAAGGCTGCCTTTATATTAAATCAGAAATATAAACAGTCCTGCTAGCCTGAAGTAGCACTTCCATTACACTCCATTAAAGAAGAAGGAAAGTACAATCCCTGCTTGCTTATTTTCCTCACTGTCTCAATGCCTCTGTTCTAATCAATTCCAAACAACAGTAAATTGTGAAAGTCTTGTTATCACACCATGTACATGCTGAAGCAGAAAGGGACCCATCCATTATCTTGGCATTCCAACAGGGTACATCATCACTCCAGTTCTGGAATAGGTTCCAGAGCTGTACTCCCCTTCATTCCCAGTCCACTACAGCATGTTTCTGCACAAATCTCCACCTGCCAGCATTCTCACTTCAGTGCTATGTTGTTGTTGATGATGATGATGATTGTGATTATGATGTTGTTATCTGCCAGTGTTAGTACAAATATCTGTTTAGTTTGAGAAGCAATCTCATTTAAATATGCCATGGGCTTTATTTGATGCACTAATTGAATACACTGAGTTATCATTCTTCGTACATATAGTTAGAGTGAAGTGAATAATATCAGTGAGGAGCAGGTTTTGTTCATTGTCAGGTTCATTTTACCCTTTCTGTTGCAGGAATGTGGATACTCTTCCATGGAATTTTCTGGGTGGTCTTAAAATATTCTACATGAATCTTTCCTCAAAGCTGGGAGCTGAAGACTGTAGAAGTTCTGACTCTTTCAGCTCTGCATGTATTTAGACAGTAATTTTGGATGCCACCCTCCTTTTCTTTCCTCAGGAGCAGGGATGGTGGTAGACTGGGAGCAAGAAACTGGCCTTCTCATGACTTCTGGAGATGTGCGAATTATCCGGATCTGGGATACAGACCGAGAAATGAAAGTGCAGGTAACCAAAAATATATCTCACTTACCAATTTATGCATGTAGCTAGTATTCAGGAGATGTGTATTGTAGTGCACTGCTTTTGGTTTTAGCACACAGAAGGCTGACTTCCATCCTGCACTGAATACTGGAGCAGCAGTGCGCATGCATGTAAAACCTATGTATGCCATAGAATACTCAGGGTTTGAGAGATGGGACCAATGAAATTGTGTCTGGCATGAAAACTGCCTCTTTACCTGTGGTCAGTTTTCTTCAGAAGGTGTGTTAAATTACCGGATACCTTGCCAAAATGAAATGGTACACCTTCAGCACTGGCAACCATTTTGCTTCAAACCTTCATGAGAATATTGTCATCTCTTATCAATTTTTTCCAATATTTAGCCTTATTTATTCATTTATTATACATGCCTGTATCTCTTCTTGGAGCACTTATCTGTGCTTCTAGTTATCCCCAATTCAGACCTTGCTCAAGGCCAAAACTGCTTAGCTTCTGCAGTAGCTCTACATCATATGCCTTTAGGCCATTCTGTATATGCCAGACCAGATGATCAGTGGGCACTGGAAGCCAAATCTACTCCTAGGGCCATCTGGCATTCATATATGGGGAACAACAAAGCTGAGATTAGTCCCAGAGCTGTTAACAGTAGTGAAACACAGGCAGAGCAGGTAATTCTAAAAAAGTCTTCAGGTCACAAAACTGAGAGCTCATGTCCTCAGCACACTTGCATTATGTGAAATTAACAAGGAATTTACAATGTAGGAAACATTCCAAAGAAAAGACAACATCTACAGATTCATGCTTGTACAGGAGCAGCAGTGTCTGCATGTAAATCCTCATATAGGCATGTGACCATAATAGACCCAAGCGCCAGACGACTAGAGGAGGACTAATGTTGTTCCTATCTACAAAAAGGAAGAATCAGTGAACAACAGACCAGTTAATCTGACATCAATCCCATGGAAAATTCTGGAACAGATTATTAAGCAGTCACTATGCAAACACATAGAAAGCAATGCAGTAATAACTAGAAGCCAGTGTGGATTTCTCAAGAACAAATCCTGGCAGATTAATCTGATTTCATTTTTTGAAACCTCCCTATAGACAGAGGGAATCATAGAGTCATAGAAACATGAAGTTGGAAGGGGCCTACAAGGCCATCAAGTCCAACCCCCTGCTCAATGCAGGAATACAATCAAAGCATATCTGCCAGGTGATTATCTAAATTTTTCTTGAATGCCTCCAGTCTCGGAGCACTCACCAACTCCCAAGGTAACTGGTCCCACTGCTGCGCTGCTCTAACAGTTTGGAAGTTTTTCCTGATATTCAACCGAAATCTGTTTTCCTGTAACTTGAGCCTATTGTTGTGTGTCCTGCACTCTGGGATGATCAAGAACAGATCCTGCCCCTCCTCTGTACCCAGCCTTTCAAATATTTGAAAAATGCTGTCATATCACCCTCAGCCTTCTTTTCTCAAGGCTTTTCTCATGCCGAATTCTTTCAGCCTTTCCTCATAAGGCTGTAGACATAGTATATCTTGACTTCAGCAGGGCTTTTGACAAAGTGCCCCATGATATTCTGATTAGCAACTTATCTAGATGTTGACTGGATATAACAACTGTCAGGCAGATACACAGTTGGTTGCAGAATCATACTCAGAGGGTGATGATTAATGACTCCTTCCCAAACTGGGAGGAGGTAACAAGTGGGGTACTCAAGGGCTCAGTCCTGGGCCCAGTGATATTCAATATTTTTATTAATGACCTGGATCAAGGGGATACAGGCAATGCTAATCAATTGGCAGATGACACAAAATTGGGTGGAATTGCTAACACCCTGGAAGACAGAAACAAAATTAAAAATAATCCTAGATAGGCTTGAGCACTGGGCTGAAAACAACAGAATGAAATTCAACAGGGACGAGTACAAAGTACTGCATCTAAGAAAAATAAACCAAATGCGCAGTTACAAGATGGGGGATACTTGGCTCATCAATACTACAAGAAGGATCTTGGAGTTGTTATAGATCACAAGCTGAATATGAGCCAACAGTGTGATGTGGCTACAAAAAAAGCAAATGCTGTTCTAAGCTGCATAGTCTCCTAATCCCATAATGTGCTAGTCCCCCTCTATTCAGCACTGGTTAGGCCTCATCTTGAGTACTATGTCCAGTTCTGAACACCACACTTCAAGAAGGATGACAACAAATTGGAACAAGTTCAGGGGGCTGGAAACCAAGCCTTATGAGGAAAGGCTGAAAGAACTGGGCATGTTTAACCTTAAGAAAAAGAATACTGAGGGGAGATATGATAGCACTTTTCATATACAGTGGTGCCTCGCATTACGACGTTAATTCGTTCCAGTGAAATTGCTGTAAAACGAAAATGTCGTAATGCGATTTTTAAAAGCCCATAGAAACACATTAAAACCTGATTAATGCATTCCTAGGGGCTTGAAACTCACCATCCAGCGAAGATCCTCCATAGCGCGGCCATTTTCACTGCCTGTGCAGCAAGGAATCCGTGCCAGAAAAGAG